AATTGAAAGAAAGCAGAAAATATTAAAAAATAGAACAAAGAGGGATCAAATAATAGAGTGCTAAATTTTAATGTAACTGCAGCTACAACAATCCATGTTCCTAGGCATTCTGCTTGTTAGCAAGCCTATTCACATCCCAGGTCTATGGTCAGAGGGGATGCTCCAGGGACTTAATTCACATGTACTTCCTCTTCACTTTCTTTTCTTTTTTTTTTTTTAAGTGAAACAGCTTTAACAAGGGTCTGAAGGGAGATCAAATAATAAGATATTACCCTTTGGCCTAATTACATCTGCCACAATTGACATTACAATGCTCTCTCTCTGAAAACAGGGCTATTCACGTCCCCGACTATGATCAGAGGGGATTCACTGGAGGCTTAGCTTAATCCATGTGTGGATTTGGGCTTCAATGCTCATGCATAGCCTTCTGCAAACCAGATGTTTGCAATTTAAGCTCTGATATCATTCGCTCCTTTAGATTTGGATTATATTATTACAATCTTTGGATCCCACAGGCCACTGTGTTTCTTCCATGTGGACTTAGTTGATGCCTCATTAGATGGTTGCTTGCTTGAAAACAAGGCTTTGAGACCCCACCCACTAATCTTTCTGATAGCTGGGCACCTCTAGTTTCTTCACCACATTTTGCTGTAGCACCTATATTTTCAATGATCTCTTAATGAGGTCAAGTATCAGGTGAAGCATGAGGTCAACTATTAATTGTTCTTAGATTGGGGCTAGAATTTCGTGCACATCCAAAATCCAGTCATGCATCTATGGATTATATATGTCTTTGGTTCACCTTAGAGCTATCACTGCCACTTCATGTTAGAGAACATTGTCAATCATCCCCCTGGGGCCTCACGTCCACTGGCCTCAAGTCAATGCTGACTCTTAGCGACCCTATAAGGCAGGGTAGAACTGACCCTGTGAATCTCTGAGCCTGTCTTCACAGCATAGAAAGCCTCATTCTTCCCTGAGGAACTGGCTGGTGGTTTCAAACTGTTTCTTCTCACTTTAAGTAGGTCCCCATTAGCAATGAAGTTCACAGAGCTTTACTTTATCCATATCATTATGGTCAACTCTACTTTAAGGAGGCAGCTTTACCCCAGGTGTATTTTGAGTGTCTTTAAACCTGAGGGATTTGCCTTCCAACATTATATCTGTCACTATTTATAAGGTTTTCCGTGACCAATCCCTCCGAGGTGGACAGTCTATTTCTTCTTCTTCTTTTTCTTCTTCCTTTTTAAATTAAAAGATCATTTTGTTGGGGGCTCTTACATCTCTTATAACAATCCATATGTCAATTGTATCAAACATATTTATACATATGTTGCCATCATTATTTTCTAAACATTTACTTTCTATTTGAGCCCTTGGTATCAGCTCCTTTTTTACCCTCCTCCCCCCTCCCACCCTCATGACCCCTTGATAAATGACAAATTATTATTATTTTCATATCTTACACTGACCACTGTGTCCCTTCCCA